GGTAGTGTATAGTATAGGTATGCATGTTATAGTCAATATTTTTCTCATATACTGTCATATATTTTTTATAGGAGAACAAAGACAATGGTTTTTAGATCAAGTTCAATACGATACAGAATTTCTTGAGCAAATTGGTGTTATGGATTACAGTTTGTTGCTAGGATACCATCCAATACATTTCACAGAGCGACAGCAAGAAAACCAGTTTGCTCATGTTGTTGTTAGAGTTCAGAAGTAAGTTTTCCATGATTCATACTTTTATTTGTAGGAATATTACAGACATGGTATTCATTATTTTGTATTCAATTGTAACTGACATGGTATTCATTATTTTGTATTCAATTGTAACTGACATGGTATTCATTATTTTGTATTCAATTGTAACTGACATGGTATTCATTATTTTGTATTCAATTGTAACTGACATGGTATTCATTATTTTGTATTCAATTGTAACTGACATGGTATTCATTATTTTGTATTCAATTGTATTGAGTCATACTTACATGTACCTTTGTCCTATGAAATTGACTGCTAAATATTAAGACTTTCACCTATATGCCTGTGAGAGCAGCGTTCACTATATACACAAACTTGCATTCATTGTGTAATCTTTCCTGATTCTGTAACACTATTAACAAATGTTTTACTACTCATATTGGTTTGTGACCAATATTTACAATATTGACATATTTGTGTTGTTATTAACAGGTCAGTTCCGTTGAAGAGATCAGAAGCTACCATTGCTAAAATGCTGTGTGACAAATGTAAAGAAATGAGAAAAGATGAAAAGAACAAAGGAAGAGAGACGAGTGATGAAATTACTGGCAATGAACTGAAAGATGAAACAACTCATGACCAAACCCCAACTGAATCACCGAAAACTACAGCAGGGAATAAGTTTAAACAAGCCAGTAAAGACGCTGTAATGCTTCCCAATATGGTTCCAACAACACCGGAAATAGCAAGATTACATGAGAACAGGGAATCTACAGTGGAGTTAGATCAGCTAAAACAAAAGAATATGCGTTTGTTATTAGAAAAAACCAATGCTTTGAATATCATAGATGGTAAAAATGATCGCTATTTTATGGGTATTATTGATTTTTTCACTGAATACAAAGCAAAGAAGAAAGCAGAACACATCTATAAATCGATAAGATATCCAACTTCTTCTTTCTCAACCGTCTCACCGAGTAAATATGCACGTAGATTTCGCAAGTTTATGGAGGATAATTCAAAATAGTTGAAGCCGCTTACCAATATACAACTTGTGAATTTACAAATCTACCAATGAGGGACTGTCTTACAAACACTGTAAATATAAATAATAAGATCATAGTCAACCAATCATATATGTTGTTACTGGTGATAATGAAGAGCCAAGTTTTTATGGTGACCAGTTATTCTGACATCTGTAATCAAGTTATTTCCTTGTAAGCTGGATTTGTTTCCATTTGTAAGAAAACATTTTTAATAATACTATTCTAATTTTACTTTTATATTATATACTGCATCAGTGAATTCTAAACTGAATCAAGAGAACATGTATAAATGGTTTTCATATATAATTGAGATAAAACATTTACGGTACGCTACAATCATGACATGAGCTGAACAATACTCAGGTAATTATATATATATTCAGTATTACATCATTATCAATATTATTATTATTACCCAAATATGAGGTTGATATATGAACTTCAAGTATAATTTGATACCGGTAACAATATTTACTTGTATATTTCATATGTATGTATTATGTGCAATCTTTTATCACTTATATGATGGACACTATTTGATGGGAAGTAATAAACATGTGGTACTTAGTACTGTATAACATTTATGATTTAAGGTATGAGTGAGTGTGATGTTTGAATTCTAGCTGTACAATGCTACTCACATTAATGACATATAGAGACATATTTGAAACATTCTCCTGTAAATAACCTCGTCTGCAGTGCAGCCTGCCCTCGCTGGTGAAGAGTGGCAAAGAGATGATTTGCTTTCGACCTAGATTCTGAAGCTCTTGCCAAATTTTATCAGATGATCTAAATTTCTTTCTCTGCTGTTAATTTCTGTTTCCACAGTTCAACATGTAGCTCACATGTTTAATGCCATGTATAGAATAGCACAGCACTTAAGTCTGAACTCCTCTCCTTTCACTCACTAACTCTAGCTTCCCCTCCCAAACAAATCAAATTTGAGACCTCTTACACTCTGTCAGCTTTCAAAAAGAAAAACAGTTAATAGTATATTTATTCTTATGTCAATAATTAACCATCATATTTTCCAATGTAATAGTAGATTCTGAGAATGTATTGATTTAAGAAAGATTTTTTAGACACAAGACTGCCCTCTATCACCATGTGCGAGTACAGCTGTGATCAATTCACTGCCTATTGTTTGTTACATTACATCAAGACATAGTTACAAATTATTCACTCCTTGGGTGTTTATATTGCCAGTATTTTTCTAATGTTATTACATATGTACTAACGCTACGTGCTTACATAGGCTAAAATGATGTAATTTATATGCAGATTAGCTACTTATTATACGTTTACATGCCTAAAAACCTGTCTTGTTTGCGCATTGCTCATAGTATCGATATCACAAATTGGATCAAAATCTGTTAAGATTTCGTTTACACAAACACTCAGACAGGACAGATGCACCAAACTCATTGTTCCCCCTTGTGTGTATTGAACACGGGAGCTAAAACTGAGGTATTTGGATGGTCACACCTGTACCTGGTTGTAATTATGTCAAGGAGTGTTGAATACTAGTAGTTCGTGGTTCATACAACGTTAGCTGTTTAAGCTGGTAAAGCTATGTTCACATATGCAACGGAAATCTTCTAGGGTTGGGGTTAAACTACAGCACTCATTTGAAAGTAGAAGGTAGCGAGATCATGGCATTAAACACACTCATTCACAATAGCATGACGTGAATCCAGATTCCATAGTATATTCTGATAGAAAGCACTCGTCGGTACAAATACAAAATAACAGCTTACAAGTAACTGTCACGACCATCCTTTTATCATTGCTATCTACAACTTTATATTTATTTATAAACAACATTATGACGCAGCTCTACACCTATGCACGTGAGTATAAAGAGTTGAAATAGAATTACTACAATAACCAGTCCAACACCTCTTTGTTTACAGATGTTTATGCCGAAAGATGAGTAAATAAAGCATTCCCTCAGCCTAGATCCTCACTTTTCTTCTGTGATAATTGAAGAATAATCCCTCTCCGTGATGTTTTGGTGAGATATTCTAAGCTTAACGAGAAAATCGTCTACATCACGGTTCTTTTTTAGTAACCGTGTCTACATGCAACAAAGCTGGGTTACTAATATCATGAATATCAAATTACGGTTACTACATTTTTTTAGTAACCGTGATGAAATGAAAAATTGGTGAACAATCCTTTCACTCGACCTATAATTACATTCAGCCAAATAACGGTATATGAAACGCTGGATGCATAAATTAATTTGCAGAATAATAAATTACGTCATCAGTTTTAGGGTTAGATTAGTAAATAAGAATGGTTTTTGGAGATTTCCAGTCTCTCAGGTCTTGACCACAAAATAAACCTAAAAACAAATTCTTATATACGAATGAGGGCGCAAATTGTCCATATGTGAATGTTGTTTATGCAATAATATACCAGCATGGAAGTAGAAGAGATCTGTCTCCATGATACCAGTGACTTCATAAACAGATATTGGTTTTTACCTCACTCATTTATAAGTGAAAATATGTTATCTCTTATTGAAGGTAGAACTCTCAACTGAAAATTCTTTACCTGAGGGCAAAATATCAAAATAGCAAATATTCAACCTTGAGAGCAAGATCGTATCTCTGTGATACATATATGTATGATATTAACATAAGTACAGTAATATTCCTTCTAATTGTTATACGTACAACCCAGTTAACCTGCTTTTGTTTTAAAACAACTTTTTGACAAAATGTAATGTTGGTATTTAAAACTGTTTTTATTTAAGGTAGTGAGAAGGGTTTGATGACGTTTTTGAATAAAACATTATGCAATTCACGGTACATGATTCAAAAGCCTAAGCATAGAGGTACAAGTTCGCACAAACTGGACAGTCATTGTTTACAAAAATGGCGAACCTAACTAAGTCCGCAATTGCACACTGCGGAATTTCCGGGCGAAATTTGAATTATCCGAATCCAGTCCATTGAAATATGCCCCGATAATCAAAAGACCTATTTTTACGATCGCTACGAAGGTTTGTTTTTGAAGCAACTGGTACATTTAAATGACTAGTCAGCTGAGTGAGCTTTTCTAATATTGCCATCATATTTTTAGTTTAATCGGCTTCATAGTTGGAACTTTCAACATAATGCAGTATAGCATATATATATTTGTTAAATGTTGGTGTTTTATGTACCGTGCCATCTACGCGGGGTATGCAGCTTGATTGGTGCATTTTCTCGTCGAGTGGAGGAGTTTGTATCCACCGTTGTTGAAGTGAATTATTTATCTTTCACTGGGATGTTATTATTGTGTCCAGACTAGTCGATAACAATATGTGTACCCTGTTGTTATGCGTGTTGTTATGGTAACATTATATGAAGACAATTACTTTCAGTATTCAATACTAGCAATTACTGTTTGGTTACACTTTGCATGTGTACATGTGTTGTCATGGTGATACTAGCATAATTAAGGATGTAGGTGTGCTATAACAAAATACGACTATATCAAATCAATCTATTGTGTCGATTTACAGTCTAAAGTGACTGCACAACGAGTTTAACACAAACAATAGTGGCAGAGTTCTGACACTCAAAATACCATCCGACATTAATTTGAGATTTTCTCCTCTGCATTCCATTTCCTAATTACCAAGTAAAATCAGTTAAAGTAATTTTCACGTTCAAGTCACTCATTAAAATGTTCCAAGTAAGCTGTTTAATGACTTGATATCATTTTCTTGAGTTACCACGGTCATTGGGTCCAGCAGTGCTTAAACTTACCCATGACTTTTGAACAATACTGACGGCATCCCGAGATCACGCGTGACTAAACATTTTAACGCGGTAGTTTACAAAACTCACCCACCGCTTAGATTTAGAAGTGGTCGCTCTGTGCATGGAGGTAAAAAAACAGACTGTCTCCGTGTATGTTTATATTTATCTATATTTTCGGCACATTAATGATCCACGTCTAATTCCTAATCACGTTTAATCACTCACACTGAGATAGTACCCCCCAGTATTATTCGGAGTATACCCCCTCCCCCCCAAATATAACTGAAGCATTGCATGCTGGTATTATGCACCAAATCAATTTCACCACAACCTACTATCATGGCATTCAGTTGTCTGTATACCTTGCCGGTTAACGCAAAAAGTAATATCCGGCAGCACAGGCAAATCAATTTGAGAGGGCGTGAAATGAGATGCAGTTAATTTTAATTGAATTATGTCATATTAAACTACGTCATACACGTCAGTCATTGTATCAATAAACGAGCGCCGTCAACGGTACTGTTAGGAAGTTATTAGCAGTTTTTATGTATATTATGTTTTAGTTTAGTTGATACCTGAAGCGAGGACATTTCATATTTTTCAGTTCCGCCATGTTAGGAAGTTGTCAGGAGTTTTTTATGTTTATTTATTTCCAGCGCTATTCACTGTCGCATCTCCAATGTGAAAGTTCATGATAAGTCGCCAGCTGAATTATTTCCCTTTGTCATGGTATATGTTTAACGAATCAATTGTTCAGTTTCACTTACCCGTATCATTATAGAGGATTAGTAGCTGAGACAATGGGCACATTAATTAGGCACAGCAGGTAGTCTAATTATTTCAACTGGCTTTGAACTTGGAAAACTGATACAGCGTAATTTATCTCAATCGCCAAAGATAGTAACAGCGGTCTTTTGTTTAATAATTCAAGTTAATGCCAACCAAACTTGGTAACCAACATCCGAGATGTATTGTTTTCATCTATCTTAATTGCCAATTATTGTAACAGTGGTTTCCTTTTCATTAATTAGCGCTAATCAAATATTGTAATTAATATTCGAAGTGTATTGTTTTCAATTACAAACACTCTGGCTAAAGTGCAGCTGGCGCATGATAGAAGTTAACCCTTAAAAGAGGGTTAGTACACACAACGAGTCGAACTGGGCTTCGGGCAGCATACTGAGGGCAAGGAAGCGGAGGCAGAGAGTAGCAACATAGCACCTACGACGGGCCGCCAGCTCTACGTGTTCAAGTACGTGTATCACAAGACGCACCGTGACATTGGATCCAGATCCAGTTTTTTCCCCGATACCTCGCAACACGGCCAACTCTCTACACGAATCCGTATTCCTGCGCTCAGTAAGCATAAGTATCAACAACCATTCTACATGTATTTCAGGGGCGGATCTAGGATTCTGGAATGGGGGGGGGGGGGCAGCGATAATTTGGCCAAAGGCCAGTTCGCAAGCGCTGAATGCCGCAAACCCCTGTTGGTTGTTTAAAAAGGGGGGGGGGG